ACTAGTCCCTTAGTTTTCCAAAGTTTCATTTGCACAAAACTCTTTTTTGAGCGATTTCCTATTTTTCTTCATTTCAACACATCCCAGCAACCATTATTTTCTTTTTCTTTTTCTTTTCTTCACACTTCCTTTTTTTTATATGCACTCAACTCACTAGTTGAACATTCTTTCTCACTTCTTCTTTCTGCTCGGATTGCAATCACCTTCAACATAGGCTTTTGGCTTGAGCTGTGACATAGTATCTTCGGGGACCAAAGGATATGATATTTACTGGGTAATAACAAAACCTGATATTTAGGCTCAAATCGAGTTCAAGTGATAAGCTTTTTATTTGGTTGTTTTATTTTTGGCTTTTTAATGGCATAACAAAATTGGCTTACTGGTCCTTTCCTATCCGGTTATTCTCAGATTTAAGCAAGACTACTCAGGCAAGTTCTAGTTTCTACTCCTAGTGTTAGACTTCAAGCAAAACTCACGCACACATGACACAGGATTACATTCTCCAATTTCTTGGTTCACAAATTTATTGATCAGACTAGCAGTGCTCAGGATGTAAGTATCTAAGATGTCATCTAAAGATCCTAACAGTCAAATCTCATATCAAGGTAATCATTACAGACAGACTAGTTGCTGCACAGCTCAACACACCAACACAAACACAAGACCATAACAGTTTTCATAGGAAACATAGAGTCAACCTCCATTCATTCTAACAGCTAGAATGGCAGGTTGCTCACCATCCCCTCCCCAAACAAAAGACTTTGCCCTCAAAGTCAATAAAGAAAAACAAAACAGAGCTATGAGGAGGGGTCATACTTGCGGCGCTCTAGGCGCCAGTAGTCGGATCAACGTTGACATCCTTATCAACGGGTGCACTCTCAAAAACCAGCGCATGATCAGGCTGGCTACCGCCCACCGGGATAGGTACTCCGCTACTAGAAACTCCAGTTAACACTACATATTGTTGTTATTGTTCAAGGGATTCTTGTTCTCTAGCTTCCTTCCTTGATGCCCTGCGGGCTTTCTTGTGCTGCCTTCTTTCCTCTCTGGATAGATCAGCCGGTAGCTCATCATCAGATTCTCCAGCTTTTTTTTTCTTACCGAATTTTTTTTAGGGAGTTCCCCCCAGATATTGTCAAGAGACTGAGTAGTAGGTTGTTCATCGAATATCTTCATTAATGAGTTTGGCATTACTGGAGTGGGCACCTATACCGGCTTTTCAGCTAGTTTAGCAACTTAGGCTCACATTTCGGCCAACTGCTTCTGGAACTCTTTATTATTGCTTGATTCGGCAGCCTGCAATTGTGTTTGTACATGGGCCTTCAAGCCATCCATCCTGTTCTTCAAAACAGCAAGCTCCTTCCATATTTCATCTTTTATACTCTTCTCCATGGCTAACACACTAGGCTATATGAGCTGAGGCATCCGGTTGACAATTTGGTCGACCAAAGTCCTGGTCTGTCGTTGATCTGCAACCAACCTTTCAAAGAAAGTAGTGGGAAGAGTGATATAAGTACATGTAGCCTGGGAGTCTGTAGCTGGTGACGATGATGGTGCCCCCAAAGCTAGCTGTGATGGCTCATCCTACTCAGTTTGGCCTGCAACCTGTGGGATGACTACTTGAGCATGAGGTACTACCGCTAATGGTCCCACCACTCCTGATTTTCTCCCAAAAAGAGGATTGTTGACATCCTAGATTTTGGAAGCTGAAGTTATCTTGGATGCCTCAACCAGTTTATCTACCAACTTATTTGGAGGAACGTTCACTTGCAAACAAAGTTTCCCTATCAGACAGGGAAACGACAAACCTTCTCGCTTATTCAGCGCTCTGTCTTGCATCTCCGTGGAGATGATCCAACCCGCATTCACAAGGTTACCGGCCATAGGGCAGGCAACCAATGATGTTAATGATGGAGACAGTGTATTATCATTTGTTGTGGGTCGCAGCTGAGCTTGAACTATTGACCACCAGTCCTTGGCAGTAAAGGTGAGGGATGCTTTTGTAATCGGCACATGTGGATCAGACACCCATGCTACTACCTCTCTTTTTGTTGTAATGTAACTGGCAATCCAACGCATGATGCGCTCTTGCAAAGTAGGATCCTCCATCTCTGATTCACTCGTTACAGCGTAGTGTTTACCCTCAAATAGTCCTACAGAACCTGGTGTCGTATACTCGAGGCCATATAGCATCCTATTAATAGTTTCCTCAGAGATGTTCACAATCTTACCCTGCACAGTGATTGTATCTAAAGGAGCCAAATGGCTGCAAGTGTCTTCTGTGCTCACTTTGTTGTTTCGGTTTCCATAGCAATGTTCATTAAGGTGGCACGTAGATAGCATAGAACTCTCAAGGTAGATGGCCGGTGTATTCCTCAGGAGCATTGTTCATCCATTCAAACTAATAAATTAGAAACAGTCTGTAAATCTCTGGAAATGCCCAGATCTCTGCCATCACTACTCTAGTCTCGGGCATGAGTGGTCTCTTTCTAAATCCCCCTGACTTGTTTACAATTCCCCTTTCGAAGAACTCTTCCGACCTGTTCACCGTCCACATATATCTAAAACAATCAATCAGTTGTTATCTCACCACTAGGTCAAATTTGTGGAGGTGAACATAATAAACCATTGTATCATCTGGAGTCACCTCATCATCTCCTTATGCTGCACCTATCTTTGTCTGAGCTCCAGTTTTAGCTTGTTGTCCTACTGTGGGTGTAGATATGGTTGCATCTTCTTGAGAGCCACTTTCAGACTCTGCACTGCTTCCTGAACCATCATCCGACTGGCTTCTCGAACCAGCATCCAATTTACTTCCCGATTCCTCCCCGCTAATAGAACTACTACCTCCCTCTTCAGACTGGGGAGGAGTGTCCTGGAGAATTGCCCTCCTTGGCAGTGCTCTAGTGGCTCGAGGTGAGTGATCCTCAATGGTGGTATTTATTTGCACCTCGGAACTACTAGACTCAGAGTTGTTATGACCTTCTGATTGAGAAATAGTGGGGGAGGAATGTCTGGTTGCGTTCTTTCTTCAGGGAGCCATAGTCCTTGAGAATTACAAAACTCATTAGTTATGTAAATCAATAAAATGACACACTAACGGGTACTCAGACTTCCCCTGTGTAAGTAAAACGAGACGCCTGATGTGCTGCTAAATCTTGGCACATTTGATGCTTGAAAACTAAGGATTAATACTAGATTCAAGTGTATTTATGTAGATATAATGTGTTTGGTAGTGTTTTTACAGGTGAAACAAATGGAAGTGAAAGAAGATAGCAAACATGAAAATTCAGTGAAATTGGAAGTGAAGACCACACACGACTTCACGAGCCATGATCCTCACAACGGCCCGTGGTGCATGTTGTGGTTTTGAGACAGTGAAGGAGCTTTTGAAAGTTGAAGAGAGAAGTTACCAAGTGAATACCTCAGACGACTTCACAAGTCGTGATCCTCACAACTGTTCGTGGTGCATGTTGTGGTAATGAACCAATGAAGGGGAAAATAAAAGTTGCAAATTGATCGTGGCCAAGTTAAGACCACGGGTACCTATAAGGTTCGTAGTCGTCATCACGATCCATAGTGTTGATCGTGAAGTGGATCTAGTGTTTACATGGTGAGAAGTGGAGATGCAGTTCCGACCAAGTGAAGACCACGGAAGGCCTCACGGACCATGGTCTACATTACGGTCCATCGTGGTGATCGTGAAAACTTTCCAGTGTCAAGTGTTGAAGACCCACTTTTGGGGAGTTCCAAGGGAAGCCACAGAGGGCTTCACGGACCGTGAAGCCCATGACAGGTCGTGGAAGTGGCTGTGAAAGGGCCCGACAGTTCAGTCCTACTTCGAGTAGGACTCTTTTTAAAACACTAGGTCATTTTTTATGTTTTATCTTATCTTTCATGGAACGACAAACAAGTTTCCAATATTCATAGCTTTTGGTTTCAATTTTAGATTGGGAATTAAGTTTGATTTCGATTTTGGATCCTTGAAATATCAAAGTGGTTGTTGATTTCTTATTCTCGTAAGTACTTTATAACATGTTTTCATTCTATATTTCTAAACATTTACGTGAAATTATGAGTAGCTAAAAACCACAACTGGGGTTGTGGGATCCATGACGAAATTCTAATTGTGATTTCGTAAGACGAGTGAAAGGCAATTTGTGGTTACAAACTATAGTTTAGTTTTCGTTATTCATGTATCCTGATGAGTGCACGCATTAGGATGAGCATGTATCTGTCATTTGTTCGTTAGAAAAATGATAGTTAGGAAAAAGTTAAACTAATCTAACTAAATGGAGTCAAAGTTCAAGTTCGAGAGAAAAGAATCTTAACACCATTGTAGGTAAGGGTAAATTGTGTAACACTCTAGGACCGAGAGGACTTGAGTGAAAATTATCTGATTAGACTGAGAAGTGTCAGATATAGTTAACTCACATGTAATTTGTAGACGTAAGTTGCCTGAAACTAAATTACGGAAGAACGTTAGATGCAACGTTATGGGGAACACAATCTTAGTTTCAGTTAATTATTAAAACAATTCTGAAACTGATATCTTGTTAATTGTTGAATTAGAGTTTAGTTTGCAACTTTGGTTACTAAAGAGTTAACGCTAAACCCAATTTTACTTTCTGCAATTGCTTATTTAGGAAATATTAACAACATTAGAGTAAAACGCAACAGTGAAATCATTTCTGTAAAGAAATTCTCTGTGCGATCGACCTCAACTCATATTGAGTTCTGTAAATTGACTTCGGCCGTTTATATCTATTAATTGAGTTGTAAGTTTGGATGTATCAAATTTTGGGTGCCGTTACCGAGGAATTTCATTTTAGAAGTGTTTTACTAGCTTTAATTCTAAGTGTAGTTAGATTTCCTAATTTTATGTCTTGTTCTTTGTCTGTGTCTCTTTTAGGTGAGTTCGACTGTGCATGTCAAATACGAAAAGTAAGGGAGCCCTATTAGTCCCATACGACCCAAAACTCAGGAAAATAATTCGAAAAATGGTGAATGCACAAGAACTTGAGACACAGAGACTGAGATTTGGATTGGAAGCTGAAACCGTCGCAAGATTAGTTCAATCGAATGGTGTGAACAATCAACCTAGGGCAGTGGACGAGAACATAGCAGTGAATGGAATCATTCCTCCCCACCGCCAACCAATAGCTCCAAGGGATAGAGCACAACATCCACCTCACATGATGTATGAGGAGGATGTCTTAGACTTGGATGGAGCTGGAGCCACGGGAGCGATAGTGTTACCTGCACTACCTCCAGGTGTAAAATTCACAATCACCAGCACTATGATTCAACTGCTGAATCTGAAAGGTATGTTCAGGGGTGCAGCTGGTGATGATGTTAATCCACATTTGATTAATTTTGTGGCGATTTGCAAATCGCAAGAGATTCCTGGAGTAAGCAAAATAGCGATAAGGTTGAGGTTGTTTCCTTTGTCTCTTACTGTAGAGGCAACCAACTGGTTGAATGAGATGTCGGTTGACTCAAACAGGACTTGGACTGAGTTGAACGAGGCTTTTATAGAGCGATTCTTTTCGAAATCAAAGGAACTGCGTATGAAAGACTAGATCAGAGCCCATAAGCAGTTACCAGGAGAAGCAATGCATGACACTTGGTGGAGATTCAGCCAAATGCTGAAAAAGTGCCCGAACCATGGTTTCACTAAAAGGCCTTTAAAATAGGCTTTCTATAGATCTTTGAACTATGTCACTAAACATGTTGTTGATGCAGTGTGTGGGGGATCATTTATGAAGAAACCATTTTCAGAGAGCATGCAACTATTGGACAAAGTGTCAACGAATAACAGGGCATGGTACACCAGGGATGCAGAAGTAGGAGATCTATCAGCTGAACAAAGGAAGCGAGAAGAAGAAAGAGATCAGGATATGGCACACATGAGGACCCAGATAGATCTACTCACGAAGCATATTGTCTCCAAGTCTGAAAAGGTAAATGTGGTGAGCCAACCAAACAGGTTTGAAGATCAGGACATTGATCTAGATGAGGAGGCAAATTACCTGGGAAACCAAGGAAGTTTCCAGAATTATAACTTGGGCAACCAGGGTTACAATTCTGGAAATGCAGATCGGAACTTCTCAAGGGAAGGATAGTATGATAGGCCGGCAAACAGAGAGCAGGGAAACTGGTAGAATAGATCTATGGGTATAGAAATGACCGCAACAGTGTATATGTGCCCCCAGGTAATAGAGACTGGGAAAGTGGTAGTTCCAACGGGTCTAAGCTGGAAGACATGTTTGCCAAGGTGCTCCAAAAGGTTGAATCAACTGATGCAGGGTTAAAGGAGATGAAAGGTGAATTCTCCAGTATGAGTCAGCTGGTAGACTCTCACACCACCTCCATCAAGCAGATCGAGCAGCAGTTGGGGCAACTTTCAGCCTCATTAAATCAGAGTAAAAATGGGTCACTACTAAGTGACACAATCAAAAATCCCAAAAAGGACGGACATTGCATGGCTTTCGCCACCAGAAGTGGTAAGATCCTTATTGACCCTATTTCTGCAAGTACTAAACATGAGTAAGTGTTGGAGCAAGCTAGAAGAGAGGAGGATGAAGCTGAGCAAGTAGATGACTTGGAGGATGCTCAACCAATAGCTAAACCAGTAGGACCTAAATAAAAAGAGGTTGAGGGAACCTTGTCGTTACAGCAAATCCCAAGACCACCTCTTTTTTCCCTCAAAGGCTTAAAAAGAAAGTCGAAGATGGGAAGTTTGCAAAGTTCATCACCATGCTGCGACAGCTGTAAGTCAACATCCCATTGGTGGAAGCCCTTGAGCAGATTCCAGGATATGATAAGTTCATGAAGGACTTGGTCACAAAGAAAAGAGTTGTAAGTATTGATTTAACTGACAATGTTCACCACTGCAGTGTTATTGCTACTAGGTCTATGGTACTGAAGAAGGAGGATCCGGGTGCATTTACCATACTGTACAGTATCAGATCAATTGAATTTGCAAAGGCCTTATGTGATCTAGGGGCCAGTATCAACTTGATGCCGCTGACCATCTATAAGCAACTGGGGCTAGGAGTTCCAAAACCCACAGCCATGAGGTTGATGATGGCAGATAGGTCAGTGAAGTGACTTGCAGGCATTCTATGTGATGTGCTCGTGAAGATGGACACGTTCATCTTTCCGGCAGACTTTGTGATCTTGGATTGCGAAGTGGATTTCGAGGTTCCCATTATTTTGGGAAGACCATTTTTGTCCACAGGACGAGCATTGGTAGATGTTGAGCAAGTAGAACTAAAATTCAGACTCAACAATGAAGAGGTAAAGTTTAATATTTGCAGGTCCATGAAGCAACCACATGATATGAATGTGGTGCCTGCACTAGCGGTCTTTGATAAAGAAGAAATGGGAGCATCAATTGAAGAGAAGATGGCTGTTGAAATCTTAGTTACAGTACGGATGAACTTTGAAGCTGACTTCAGGTCTGATTATGTAGAGACAGTAAATGTGTTGCAAGGTTTGGGAACACATTCTTATGCTCCAAAGAAGTTGGACCTGGATCTAAAAAATAGGCCAAGTCCTCCAGCAAAACCATCCATTGAGGAGCCACCTGTGCTGCAACAGAAACAATTGCCCTGTCACTTGAGGTATGTATATTTGGGAACTAACAACACTTTACCTGTGAATTTTGCTGCAGATTTGAATGATGAACAGGTCGAAGTTGTGATCAAGGTGTTGATTAGGTACAAGAGGGCCATTGGGTGGAATATTGCTGACATCATTGGGATACCTCCAGGTATATGCACCCATAAAATTCAACTTGAGAAGGACTGCAGCCCAAGCATTGAACATCAGCGGAGGCTAAACCCACCTATGCAAGAGGTGGTCAAAAAGGAGATCATTAAGTGATTGGATGATGGGGTGGTATACACTATTTCTGATAGTCACTGGGTCAGTCTGGTGCAATGTGTACCCAAAAAAAGTGATATGATTGTGGTTGTAAACGCCAAGAATGAGTTGGTTCCACAGATGACAGTCACTGGATGGCGAGTGTTCATGGATTACAGGAAGCTGAACAAGTGGACCTTGAAGGATCATTTCCCAATGCCTTTCATGGACCAGATGCTTGATAGGTTGGCTGGCGAAGGGTGGTACTGCTTTTTAGATAGATACTCTGGCTACAACCAGATATCAATTGCTCCTGAAGATCAGGAAAAGACCACATTTACATGTCCTTATGGCACCTTTGCATTTAAATGCATGCCATTTGGACTATATAATGCACAAGAAACTTTCCAAAGGTGTATGATGTCTATCTTCACAGACATGGTGGAGGATACTCTAGAAGTCTTCATGAATGACTTCTTAGTGGTAGGTGATACATTTAATGATTGTTTGTTGAATCTTAGTAGGGTCGTACAGAGATGCGAGGAGGCATACCTAGTGCTGAACTAGGAGAAGTGCAATTTCATGGTCAAGGAAGGCATAGTCCTTGGACATAAGGTGTCACAAAAGGGGATAGAGGTCGACAAGGCCAAAATTGAAGTGATTGAAAAGTTGCCTCCACCTATTTGTGTGAAGGGTGTTCGGAGCTTCTTAGGACATGCTAGATTTTATAGGCGTTTCATCAAGGATTTCTCCAAAATTTCATACCCCATCTGCCAGCTTTTGGAGAAGGAGGTGAAATTCATTTTTGATGAGGCATGTCTTAGAGCCTTTGAATGCCTAAAGGAGAAGTTGATTTTTCCCCCGTGATCATTGGCCTAGATTGGGCAGAGCCATTTGAGGTGATGTGTGATGCAAGCAGTACTGCTTTAGGAGTAGTGTTGGGTCAGAAGCGCAACAAGATGTTTCATCCGATTTACTATGCTAGTAAGTCACTAAATGGAGCACAACGAAACTACACAGTTACTAAACAGGAACTGCTAGATGTAGTGTATGCGTTTGAGGAGTTCAGAGCTTATTTGTTAGGCACTAGAGTGATAGTCCATACAGACCATACAGCTCTGAGACACTTCATAGAAAAGAAGGATGTCAAACCAAGGTTGATCAGATGGGTGTTACTTCTTTAAGAGTTTGACTTTGAGGTTAAGGATAGGAAAGGCTGTGAGAGCCAAGTAGCTGATCACTTATCAAGGTTGGAGGCTGAAAATAAAGAGGAACTCAAGCTCAACATAAATGATTTATTCCCGGATAAGCAGGTATTAACCGCTACTCTTGATGTTATTCCTTGGTTTGCTGATTTTGCTAACTATCTTGTTAGTAATTTGATGTTTGAGGGGCTAACTTATCAACAAACGCAGAGGTTCCTGCGTGATGTGGGTAAGTATTTTTTGTATGAACCTTATTTGTACAGGGTGTGTGCTGACAACATCATCAGGTGATGTGTTCCTAAAGCTGAGATGTTGCATATTCTAGAAGCATGTCACTCCTCTTCGGTAGGTGGTCATCATGAGGTGCTCGGACAGCACATAAGATACTTCAGTGTGGGTACTACTGGCCCACAATTCATCAGGATGCGATGGATGTAGTGAGGAGCTGTGTTGTGTGCCAGCCACAAGGAGCCATTTCTCGGTGCCATGAGCTACCCATGACACCTATTCTAGAGGTGGAGTTGTTTGATGTGTGGAGAATCGACTTCATGGACCCATTTGTGAGCTCCTATGGGAAGAAATACATACTGGTTGCAGGGGACTATTTGTCCAAATGGGTTGAGGCAGTTGCTTTGCTTGATAATGATGGTAAGAGTGTTGTTGGTTTTCTGAAGAAGAAAATCTTCTCAAGGTTCGGCACACCCAGAGCTATCATCAGTAATGGTTGTTCTCATTTCTGCAATAAGGTGTTCAGTTCTCTTCTAGCTAAATATGGAGTCAAACAGCACAAGGTAGCAACACCTTATCACCCACAAACCAGTGGCCAAGTGGAGGTCTCCAACCGAGAAGTTAAAGAAATTCTAGCTTAAACAGTAAATGCCAACAGGACAGATTGTGCACGGAAGTTAGATGATGCTCTATGAGCATATCAAACAGCTTTCAAGATGCCTATTAGTATGTCTTCATATCAATTGGTGTTTGGAAATGCATGTAATTTGACTGTTGAGCTTGAGCATAAAGCACTCTGGGCTTTGAAGAAGTTGAACCTTAGTGTCACGACCCGAGTCTAGACCCCAGATGCGACACGGCGTACTCGACCCCGAAGGGGTCTTATACAAGCCTCTTAGCATTCTTGAACATATTATCATAGGAAAAATAAAGGGGAATTTAAAACTTTCTTTACAATCGAAAACATCTCTCATTAAAACAAGCGGAAGTCTTCTGACTTTGTCTCTAAACATCTAATACTTTGAATACAACTTTGGGACTAATCCCTTAGAAAAGCTTTAAACCTAAATAAAAGACATAAAGGAAAGGGTTGGGTTTGTCCTCGAAACTATGAGGACTCACCAAAACTTCAGCTCCATGCTCCTTAGAAACCTATCTTCCATGTACAAGACATCCAATCACCAAACCCTACACTTTGGTAAAAAGAAAGGAATATGGGTTAGCATATTAGATGTACTAAGTATGGAAGCCATGCAAAAATCATGCTTAAAACGGACATTTTATTTGAAAGTCATGCTATATGCCATTTTGGTAAAACTTCATGAACATTGATAAAAGAGGCATAATATAAGTCACAACCAACATTCCAATCATATTTTTCACATTTGAACATAATGAACACATAAACCTTTACCTTCATATTAAGCCTTCACCTCAAGTAACCCTCAAGTTATACCTTATGCAATGTATGGGTAGCATCACATACCACCACCCACACTAAGGTACCACCTTAAGGTCACCACAAGTGAACTTACCATTCAACCTTACCATCTTTGCACTATATTCATACATAAGAAACGTAAACATTACATAAGTCATATAATCACATTAAGGACCATTCCCTAAGATAACCCTTAAGTCATACTTGTGCAATGTGCAAGTAGCATCCATACTACTACTCACACTAAGTACTCATTTGAAGTCACCATAGACAAGGCACATTCATACTCAACAAGTCATAACAAGGAATTAACCCATAAAACAATCCAAGTATAACATGAATCTTCACATTAAACATATAAGCATTTAAGTCACGCATTCTTCATTAGCTTCATTAAGAACACCTTCATTCATTAGAAATTAAGCCAACATTCTCATTGATATCATCATAAGAGTCCATTCATTTCATTTAAACATTATAAAGGAACACACCATGACCCTCTCAAAGTCTAATTGTGTAATGCATAGATGGTGTCCCATACCGCCACCCACACTAAGTTATGCATTCTTAAGAAGCCATAGTTCATTAACATTATTGTGGGGGTAAGCCTTAACCGACATAGACCATGTGAGCTTGACATGAATCCCGGTGTCACCCTCACCGGATAAAGGGATTCCTACTTGCCTAAGGTAGGACTATCATTTTTATATCTTAAGTGGATCCATTAGCTAGACCTATGTGGAAACATAGTTTATGGGATAAGGAGATTTCTACTAGATACCCCGCCTCAACTAACATATGAGTATCAATCTCAAGAGATTACTACTAAGTGCCCCTCCTCAACTCATGTATGAGCACCTATCTCAATCCATATCCACTCGATGCTTAGCATTATTCCCCACGGAGTATTTGACTTTCAATACATTCGTTCATTATTATGGGATAAGAGATTGCTACTTGATACCCCGCCTCAACTAACGTATGGGCATCCATCTCAAACCCAATCATTGGAAAGCTCATAGATTCAAAAATGAGAATAGCCTTTCACCTAGGAATCCCGTATTGTGAAAAAGTCCTTTCACAACATGTCTTTTCATTCATTAGAGTACAATTGAGAATAGCCTTTCAATAAATACTTCACATTAACATAATCATAGAACTTCATTCATTATTCATTCATGAGTGTGTGTGAGCATGTGAGAATAACCTTTCACATAATCATCATCATTCATACAATTGCCTTCTAAACATGATCATAATACATCCATAGTAATCACACACATTTCCTTTCACTTCATGATCATACATAGTAATTAAACATATACACCCTTCAAGTGGATCAATAGCTCAAGTACAATTCTACTACAACA